ATGTAGACTGCAGAAGAACTTCGGGAGCACGGTACCAGAGTGTAACAACCTAAAGGGAACAGGAGTGGGTGAGGGTGCTCCTAGTTATGAATCACAACTGTGTGACTGAAGACATGAAGCACAGAACTTCTCAAATACTATACATACTCTCTTACCACCAACCAGAACCCATTTTAGCTCCCATCTTTCTACTGACCACAGGTGTAAGGGCCATCTGGTAGCTGTATATTCTGGCCAGGCCAAAGTCAGCCAGCTTGACTGTCCCACCACTTGTCACCAGAATATTTTCTGGCTTCAGGTCCCGATGAACGATGCAATTGGCATGAAGAAAATCTAGGCCTCTTAAAAACTGGCGCATCAGATCCTGGTTTGGAAGGGGGAGGTACAGACTCACTGGAAACAGACACCATACCTGAAATTCCAAGCTCTAAACATAGATCCCAATCCATCTCTCAAGATCTACCCACAATACTCACCTTGATGGTCTCGGCTGGCAAGCCTGGTGGTGGTGCCTTGTCTAAATAGGTCCTTAAGTCTTGGTCAACATGCTCAAACACTAGGGTCACCTTGATTTCACGGTCGGTCCGGGAAGTGGCACAGACATCCATCAGCCTGGCCAGAATAAATGGTCACATATTGCTCAATCCCCTTTGATCTGATAACAGTTTCCCATATTCTCTCAGGTTCCCCACTTTTTTTCTGACCACGCATCCCACTTAAAGGTTGTCTCTTCCCTTACTGCCACTCCCACCCTTCCACCTTCTTCTCACCGGACAACATTGGGATGTTCAAAAGCCTCCAGACGCCTCAATAAGGCCACCTCACGAACTGTGCTGATGGGAAGGCCCCCTCCAGCTCCTCCTCCATTGGGGACTCTCACACTCTTGAGGGCCACAAAGTGGCCACTGTGGGGATCACGGGCTTTGTACACCGTCCCATAGGCACCGACACCAATTTCAGCCACTGGCTCATATCGTGAGGTAGCCATTCTCAGATAAGAGGAGACCCTACAATCACAGAGACATCTACCATTAAAATGTCCTTCCAGAGTTAGGATGATAGCAGCATGTAGCAGTAAAGCGATTCCCACATGAACACCATCATCAGCATCCCATCCCCTTCCCAACAGTCCAGAGGCCGCGCTCAGGTAACACAATGACTCTACCAGCAACTCCTCTGGCCACGTGAAACTGAAAGAAAAATATACGCTTTTCTCTTGGGGACCACTGTGCTGTGCACAAAGGAGATCACACATGGCACATCTAGCATCGACGATTTTACACCCCAGTCCCTAAAGTTACACCTTTCCACCACCACAAAGGCCCCACTTCCCGCCCTTGGGCGACCCTTCCAAAAGCAGCCCGCCAGGCGCACGCATCGGAAGTCTTGGGGGGCGGGGACTGGCCCCCATTCCTGAGAAGTGGCTGCATTTACCTCACTGCAGACCAAGAGCTACGAGGGCAGGCCCGTTATCGGGACCCCGGAGCCGGTTTCTTCGGCGCCATACACGCGAGCTCCGTCCGAGGCAGCTGGACSTTACGGGCGGGACCGTAGACACAGGCCGCAGGCTAGAGAGGCCCCCTCTCCCCCACCCTCACCATGTGACCAGCTGCCAAATAGGCGCGCGGAAACGGGGAGGGAGGGGCGAACGCCGGACGTTCGGGACACGTGACTGCTACCCATGCGCAGAGGGTCCGTCGGAGCCTCTTTGAGAGGGGGGCGATGAGGGGAGGGGAGTGATGAGGGAAGGGGGCCGAGGGGCGACGGTAGCCACGTGACCTGTTGCTATCACACGTGACCGCTTAACATTGCTCGGAGGAGCAGAGGTGTGGTTACGCAGCGAGACACATGACTGGCTGACAAAACCCGGTCTGTGGAGGGGGGGCGCACGGGGGCGAGGGAGGGTGGAGCCCAAAGCGGTGCCATGGCAACCTGGGCCACCCAGCTTTCAACTCCTGGCTGAAGGCCGAACCTGAGCGCTACTCCAGGCTCTTGCTTGTCTCTCAGTCTCTTCCTTGTTGGTGGCCAGGTTGTGGTCCGTGTGAGGATGAGGGATCCGAGTACTAGAGGTGGTGTTGTCATCTTTTCGCTCCATCGCCATGGGAAAACAGATTCTCATTTGGGTCTTTGTTTCACTCATTCATTCAACAAAATTTTATWAAGTGCTTGCTTCCAGTTTGTAGGTGGTTTTTTTGTTTTGGTTAGGTTTTGCCATCTCAGTCACTAGCTCTCCGAAGTAGTGATAAGGCTGTCTATAAAGATGTAGCCAATCGTGTGATCTTATAAAATAGAGTAGACAATTTCCATGTCTTAAAATTTCCATGTCAATTTCCAGGACTTAAAAATGGACAGGAGATAATACAATAATCTAATAGGAAGAGTGGYAAGGTAATTCCCTCCCCTCTTCCCATCTCCCAAACCTCCTAGGGGGTGTTAAAGCCAGAGACTAGATGTCACTTGGCAGAGACAGTTATGGATGAGCTGAACTGGAATACTTGACCTGAAAAGTTCTTTTCAGCACTAAGATTCTGCGGTTCTGTGATGTGTGTGTTGTATACAGACAGGTAGATATAGGGGTGTGCATGTCTAAGGAAGTCATCCTCCCCACAGACCACTACRTAATATGAGAATGACTTGTGCCCCTCTGCAAACCTTATGACTACTCAGATCATTGTGCTTCCCTCTCTTCTCCCAGTGCAGCTTTCTTACCCCTTATCCCTGCCCAGAAGTAGTWGTTGTTGTTTTCAAAAGGTTCCTGTCCACATACACCTAGATAGAGGAAGATTTCTCTGACTTCTCTTTAAAAATTTYTTTTGTAGTTSTAGATGGGCAGCATGCCTTTATTTTGTTTATTTTTATGTGGTGCTAAGGATTGAACCCAGTGCCTCACACCTGCTAAGTAAGCCCTTTGCCACTGAGCTACAGTGCCAGCCCATCTCTGACTTCTCTTGTATTATTAACTCCAACTTTATTATCTTTGAGCTCTTTGGGAGTGTGGGACTAAGGGATTACTATCCCATTTGTGGGAATTTATCTAAAATATGGAACCATATAAAAATTATTTTTTGGGGGGCTGGGGATATAGCTCAGTGGTAGAGCACTTGCCTAGCATGTGCAAGGTCTTGGGTCAATCCCCAGTACCGGCAAAAAAAAAAAAAATGGGGTGGTTGGTTGCTGGGGAATTGAACCTAAGGGCTTGGAATGGTAAGCATGTTCTCTACCACTGAACTGCACCCCTAGCCCTAAAGTCTGTAACTATTTTATTATCATTTGCATTTGCCACTTCTTTTATCCAAATTTGTAATTTCCCTAATTATCTGGCTAACAATGTAAGAGTTCATATAAAGAGAAATGTAAGCCATGATTCAGGGTAAAATAGGAAGACATGTTGCTATAGATTTCTTCTTGCTTTCCATTCTGTTGCAGCTCTGGGCCCTTGCTGGCAAGGGCACCTGGGACACTCAAAAGAAAAACCTCCACAGTAGAATTATAGGTATTTGCCACCATAGTGAGCAGGAGGATGGAAAGTTTGAGGCTAGCCTAGCCAACTTAGACCCTGTTTTAAAAAATAATAATAATTACACACACACACACACACACACATACACACACACACACACACACGACTGTGGATGTACCTAGGTAGTAATGGGTTCCTGGGTTCAAACTGCAAAAACACAAAACAACAACAAACACCTCCCATGCCCAGGCTGGAGAGGTAAATATTTTATTGGCTTCCTTGCTAGGGATGGTTGGTTTATATGGCTTCTGGAAGTCTAAGCTAAATGTCTGCAAGTTTGTCAAACTCCCTTTATATACTAGTTCCCTTACCTTCCCCCTACTAAGACTACTGCAGCTTATTGTCTCTAAAACAGAAACTATCCTCTATGTCTGCCTGATTCCCAGCCTCTTTTTCTGATTCATTCATTTGTCCATCCAAAACATTTGAATACTTCATAAAAACATTGCCTCTTCTCTGTCACTTTCTGTTGGGAGCCTTAATTTGGCAGTCTGTCCCTGGCTCCATCTCCTCCTTTCTCCTGTTAATTACTCTTTTACTAATTAATTTTTTTCCCAGCATGTTTGACCCAGTGGGCTCCCCTGGAATCTCTTTTCCCTCAGCTTTGCAAAAGGGGTGAGAGGGAGGATGTTAAGTGTAAAACAGGAAGAAAAAAAAGAAAAGAAAGAAGGGATTGGGGAGAATTGTTTCTCAGGCTCAGGGCCCCCATAAAAACAAAGGGCTCTATGTGTGTGTGTGTGTGTGTGTGTGTGTGTGTGTGTGTGTGTGTGAGAGAGAGAGAGAGAGAGAGAGAGAGAGAGAGAGAGAGAGAGAGAAGAGAGAGAGAGTGTGTGTGTGTGTGTCTGTCTTTCAGTGTAGTGGAGGTGAGGGCAAGAAGGTATCGGGAAATATACTCCCATCCCTTTGGCACTACTATTTGTCTTGCTCATTCACCTCCCTGACGTGTTACAATGGTTACAATGATACGCTTCTGTTTCTCTCATAATCCGATTTCATTCCTTACACACACAGCTCTCTTTTACAGTCCAATGCCTAGCACACTTTTCAGTCTTTTGCATAAGAGTGTTTATTGCTTGAGTCAATCCCTTGCTCAACCTCAGACGTTGCTCAGCTCTGTGCACACTCGYATTTCGCATAAACCTCTCCCCCGTACACCTGCTTTCTTTCAGCACTTACCTTTTCTTACATTCTCTCTGGCACACACACCCACTCCCATACACACACCTATTCTCCTACCCATGTGCACACTCCCCTTCCTCGGCCACTCCCCTCCCTCCCCTGCCGGGGCTAGCACACTCGCCCCGCCCCTGGGGACACCTGCTCGTGTGGGGCAGGGCGGGGATGCGCAGCCGCGGCCCCTTCTCCTTCTCTCCCTCCCCGCCCCTCCCTCCATCCCTCACCGGCTCCCCGGCTCCCGCCCCGCCCGCCCCGCCCGCCCGCCGCTCCGGGGGGGTCTCCGCCGCCGCCGCCGCCGCCGCCGGAAGGAGCCGCCATTTGCCACCGCCGAGCGCACGGGCCGAGCCGAGCCGGATCCGGGAGCCGGAGCGGGACTGGGGCCGGAGGACGGCGATGGGGGGCGGCCCCGCCGCAGGAGGACCCGGGCGCGTAACCCCGGGGGCCCGGCCCGCTCCGGACCCGGACCCGCAGGGCGCGGCACCCTGAGCCCCCCTCCCCGCCCCCTGCCCCGGTCATGGTTGCCTACCCTGCCGCCCCTGGGCCACCAGCCCTCTCGGCCTCGCGAGCCCCGGAGCCCGGGTGGTGTCAGCAGTGAAAGGCGTTTGCAGGCCCGGAAGACCCCAGCCCGGCTCGGCTCTCCAGCGCGCGCCCCCTTCCCGGCCTTGTCCCTTCCCTTCCCCCCGCCGCCCAAGAGCCCCCCTTGCACGCCGCCCCCCGCCCCCCGGCGCCCGGACGATGCTCAAGTCTCGGCTCCGCATGTTCCTGAACGAGCTGAAGCTGCTGGTGCTGACGGGCGGGGGGCGGCCCCGGGCCGAGCCGCAGCCCCGGGGGGGCGGGGGAGGCGGCTGCGGCTGGGCGCCTTTCGCCGGCTGCTCCACCCGGGACGGCGACGGCGACGAGGAGGAGTACTACGGGTCGGAGCCGCGGGCCCGGGGCCTGGCCGGGGACAAGGAGCCGCGGACCGGACCCCCGCCACCGCCCGCGCCGCCACCACCACCCCCGGGCGCACTGGATGCCCTGTCGCTCAGCAGCAGCCTGGATAGCGGACTCCGAACCCCTCAGTGCCGGATCTGCTTCCAGGGCCCAGAGCAGGTCAGGCCTGGGCACCTGGCTGGGCAGGGAGGGGTGGGGGGCGCGCACCTGGGCTGTCCGGCGGGACCGTGAGCAGGGGGCGGGGCCTGAGGAGGCTGGGCGGGACCCAGGACCTGGGTGGGAATAGGGCGAGGTGGGGCAGCTGGCTGGAGATTCCTGGAGAGTGTGTTTAGGTTGGGGTGGCGGGGGTCCTTAGGAAGAGGTGGGGCTTTTTCCTGGGAGAGGTCATGATTCCTCTCTCCCATTAATGGGGACAGCATTGTCTCCTGCTCCCCTTAGCCAGGGTCGCCATTGACTGAGGGGACCTATGGAGAATGCATCTGTTCCCATCTTCAGAGGAGGGACCAAACTAGAACCTTGCCTCACTATTTCTCCCGCTGGGGCACTTTTCACTTCACATTCTGCAACTTTCTTATTCCAAAGAGCCGCCTTTGTTAAATTTTATGGGCAAAGTTGTCCCGGGATAGTGCCAGAGGGTGTCTCTGTGTAATGAGAAATGATTCCTTGACTAAAGGGGAACATGCTTCACTCCCACCTTCAAGAGTTACCCTTGTGGAAATGAAGACCAATAATCCATTCTAGTCTCCATCATATCTATGAAATGCTGTACTTTACAATGAAAGGATGGGGGAAGGAAACCATGGTTCAGAAACTCTCACTCTTCTGTCCCTCCGCATCCTAGAGCAAAGCCTTCCCTCTAGGAAATATTGAAAACTACCTTTTGCAAGTTCTAGGAAAAGAGAAGGCCTAGACTTACCTCTAACCCCTATACCGCATTACTTTAGTATGGGAAGTGTTTGTTGAACTCTAACTTCCTTCTTTTCTGCTGCAGCGTTAGCCTTTTGCCCAGTGTTGGGTGAAAGACCTGAGGGGGTTTTGTCTTTTTCCCCCCACTTTTGGGGATCAAACCTAGGGCCTCACACATATTAAATAAGCGCTCTACTACTGAGCTACCTCCCTAGTCCAGGTCTGAATTTAAGAGGTTTCCCTCAACAGGAGCACAGAATCAGGTGGGATGGTGATGACTGACAGGGCCTTTCCTCACACTTCCTCCAGGGGGAGCTCCTGAGCCCCTGCCGCTGTGACGGATCGGTGCGCTGCACTCACCAGCCCTGCCTCATCCGCTGGATCAGTGAGAGGGGCTCCTGGAGCTGTGAACTCTGCTACTTCAAGTACCAGGTCCTGGCGATCAGCACCAAGAACCCATTGCAGGTGAGGTGCAAAGAGTGGACTCAGAATGGGGGAAGGCCTTTCTACTATAGGGATCAGGGAGCCTATTTTATCTCATTTACTCTTTTTTTTCCAAAGACACTCCTCCCCACCATTATGGAAGTTTCCTGTCTGTAAATCCTTTCTTCATTTATTCATTTATTCACAAAGACATTTATTGGGTGCCACTTGTATTCCAGACACTGCTTCAGGCACTGGGACAACAGAAAAGGAAAAGAAAGTTGTTGATGATGATAATGATAGCAAATGCAGTATTTTCTGTTTATCAAGTGTGGTTATACCTTAACTCTTTAATTCTTTTAAGCTTAATAATAATCCTATTAATTAAGATACATTTTCCCCCAATTTACAGATGAGAACCCTGATGCACAAAGGGATTTAAAAACTTGCATAAGGTTATTCAACCAGTAAGGAATAGAGTTAAGATTTGGAATTTATACCTAGATGTTTTGGCTTTAGAGCACTTGCCTGATTCTGCCTTTGTAAAATAAGACAGATAAATAGTGTCATGTGAGTGTCACATTTTAGGTTTGATTAAGGCACAGAGAAGACAGATGTAAATCCTACCTAAAGGATGTAGAAAAGGCCCCTGGAGCCTCCTCCTTTTCAGGATTGCCCATTACCCAGTCCTCTGTCCCTTTCTGTGACCATTTGGAGTCTTTTCTCTTACACAGTGGCAGGCCATCTCCCTGACAGTCATCGAGAAAGTCCAGATTGCAGCCATAGTTCTGGGCTCGCTCTTCCTCGTCGCCAGCATCTCCTGGCTTATCTGGTCCTCACTCAGCCCTTCAGCCAAGTGGCAACGACAAGATCTGCTCTTTCAGATCTGTTACGGCATGTACGGCTTCATGGATGTTGTCTGCATAGGTGAGGGCACCTCTCTCTCCCTTATGTGCTTAGCATCTTCCTTTTAGTCACTCACTTAACTTTTCTGTCTATCCCCTCAGTTTCATGGCTTTGTTTTCTGCCATTGGTGTCCTTAGAGGTATCCTGATATCCCTCCCTTCCCTGCTTCTTCAGGATCCTTTGCAGCTGTGTCTTCTCACTCTGTTATGTGTGTTTTAAGGACCTTTGGCCTTGGTCTCAACAGCAGTTGATCCCAGATTTTTTATCCTTCTTGTTCAGGCCTCATCGTTCATGAAGGCTCTTCTGTCTACCGAATCTTCAAGCGCTGGCAGGCAGTGAACCAGCAGTGGAAGGTGCTGAATTATGACAAGACAAAAGACATAGGAGGAGATGCAGGGGGAGGGACAGCAGGGAAGCCAGGCCCTAGGACCTCACGGACGGGCCCCCCCACTGGGGCTACCAGCCGTCCCCCAGCTGCCCAGCGCATGCGGACGCTCTTGCCTCAGCGCTGTGGTTATACAATCCTGCACCTCCTTGGACAGCTGCGGCCACCAGATGCCCGTTCCAGCTCCCATTCTGGTCGAGAAGTTGTCATGAGGGTCACCACCGTCTGATCTGGATTCCAAAAGCAGGGATCTTAAGTCAATGCATCAGCCAGACACAAGCTCTCATGGCTGCTGGAGGAACCACCTGGACAAGGTGTTTGGGGCAGTGGCCCCCACCACTGAGGATCTTTGTGGGCAGCCTCAGGCTGGAGACATTGTCTGTTCTCTACTGCCCACTGAGTAGACACCTGGATGACATTCTAGCCACCATTGACAGCTCCTCATACTCATCCTGAGATGGTCAGTGGGCAGGTGGGGAGAGCAGCTTTTCTTCCCTGGAAAGAACCGTCTTTACCTCAGCTCCTAGGGCCTCCAGCCCCCCCTCACCCCAGCTCCACCATGGTGACTTGGCAAAGGGGGACCGATGCCAGAAGAAAGGGGCTGTAGACCCCCATTCCCCATCCCATGGCCACAGGGCATCTGGCAATAAGACTAGTATACATTGACCTCCCGTTCCCTGCATGAGGGCGGGGGACTTCCCCCTGCTCCATCCCCCATTGCATGGGGGAAGGGCATAAAGAATCATTTATATGCACGTGGAGACTCCTTTCTCATCTGGGGGTTTTCTGGAGGGCTGGGAGGCTTCTGTTCACATGTTGCAAATTCTAAATGCAGCAGTGGGTTCTGAGTTGAAGTTGTGACTCCCACTTGCTAGAGAATAAGTCACTTTGGCTGCTAGATGGCAGTGCTCAATGCTATCTAAGGAGGGTAGACCTGCCACCTTTAAGTTGTGTGATTTAGGAAAAAATCTCTAAGCTATAGTTTTCCTGTCTACCTCATAGAGTTGGAATGAGGATAAACGAGGGACAGGTTGGATGCCATTGCAAAGAAAATCAACAATGGCATAAATATTTCTAGACTAGTTGATGGTTCATTTATTTCAAATAGTAACTGGTATAACAAATTCCAAAATGTGTTTTTCATCAGGAGTTGCACAGAACCTTGGAATTTTGTTTTGAGTGATATAATAGATATGGAAACATGATGGGTAATAGACACTGCAAATGTGAAGGATGGTGGTTGTTTGTAAGAATAAGAACTCCTTGGGCCAAGGATGTAGTTCAGGGGTATAGCACTTGCTTGAGAACTCTTCAGACCCTCTCTCTCTGAACGTTAGAGCCTGGTGGTGGGGAAAGGTTGGAGATGTCCATCTTATTCTGGAGGTCATCTGAATTCTATTCTTCTCAGGTACTGTGCTTCCTCAGAAAAGTGGTATGAAGTGAATATGGACCCATGGAGGGAGTCCCCCCGACCTATTTTGATGGCAGTTCAGGATCACAGGTCTGATCCTGGTTTGCCCAGTTAGTAGTATTAAGTGGAAAGTATTGTTCTTGGAGGCAGAAGCATAGAGAGGGCTCTATGGGAAATTTGGGTTCCATCCCCAGCACTGAAAAAGAAAATGGGTCAATCCAAAGCCTGGTACCTTTCTCCTGAGGCCTGGGGATTGTGTATTATATGAATGATGGTGTCTTTCAAGTGAACCATTCATCAACATTAAAATAATTCCTTCTTACATTGCTAAAGTCAGATCCAGAGGCCTTTCTTATTATTGGTCCTTCTCTTAGGGAAGATTCTGTGCTTCCTCCTCACTTGCGGTGCTTTGGAGAAAATTATTCTCTTCTAAAGGCCCACATATCCTTGGGCAGGAAACCTTGATCCTCTCCAGAAAGGGTTCCGGGTGCTGTCCATGGTGCTGGGATACAGATGCACTTGGAAGTATAGGAATCAAWGCTGAACTGGGGTCTGATTCACCTTGGAATGTGGAAGCATATCACTTCCAAGTTCTGAGGAGATCAGAACAGAGAGAGAACTGAGGCCAATCCCTCCATCTTTCAGTGGGAAACTTTCCCTAAGGATATATCCCTCTTTGCCTCCACCTGAGGGAACAGAGGGCCAAACTTTATAGATAGACTATTCACAGAAGAGCTGGTGGGGGCTACATGAGAGCTAGAAATCAGAGTGACTACTAATACTCATACTGGCCCATAGGGCTCAGTGACATACATGGAATTTCTGTGCAGAGCCTGAGCTATATAGAAACTTAGACACATCCAGTAATAATAGGCATGCTTACACAATCTCCATTTCCACCCTGGGTCCTATAGCCAGGCACAGTGATAGTATTTTTCCCTCTCCTTCAGCACCAATGAAGGTCTGTAGATGGGGGTTGGGACCAGGTCAATGTGGTGTCCTCTCTTTCCCTTTTTCTAACTTAAAGAGATCCTTTTCCAGGAAAAAGATCACGAGCACTGCTGTCCTCTTCAATTGTTCATTCCTTCTTACCTGAGAAAGAGTATGGGTAGGTAGAAGTCTTATCACTGATTCCAGGGCAAAAAGCCCAATAGTAGGCTGGGCTTTATTAAAGCTTAACTGTACTAAAAATCAGGTCATTTTAGGTTTAAGTTGGGTTTGGTGATAAGGGAATACAAGTGGAGACTAAGTAGAGAAGGGAGTTGAGAGGAGGGGTCTCTTGGGTCTTTGCACAAGGCATTGGGCATACCATGCCCTTTCGTAGATCTTGCATGATTTGTTCCCTCCACAGAAGGTCCGATGGTTAATGGAGTTTCTGTGGTCAGGGAGCCATGTCTAAGATGGGGCAGAGGAARTGCAGAGGAGAAAGACATGTGAAATGAAATTTCACCAACACCCAAGTAATTGGAATGGGGGGAAGGACAGGAGAAAGGGGCAAGCCCTAACAAGGGAAGGGTAATTTGGAATGCAGAGGAGCTGCATAGGGTGTTGAGAGTTTTATCTGGATGGAAGATGAGTTAACCTGCACACATTACAAGAGGAATACTGTGTCCAGTCTCTCGGGGGCCAGAATGCTGACTAAGAAACTAGCTCCTTCTGCCCATTCCAGTGTTCCTACTGCATGCCCCAGGCTTCTGGCCACTCTCCCACTCAACTTTCATGCTGTCAGACTCCACATTTCCCTTCCTATGACCCTCTTTCTCTGAAGCAAACTATCTTGTAGTAATTTGTTTCCAGAGTAGCAGTTTAGGATATCCTTCAATTCTGGTAGTTCAGGTTCCAAAAGACTTCTCTCACCAAAGAGTCAGCTGTCTCTGCCTAGCTCCCCAACCCATTTTAAACTCAGCTCCTACAATTACTTTTCACTACCACCCCCTTGACCTCTTACTGAAAGCAAGACTAGACTTGGCTGTTCCCACTGCAGACAGAAACATGTCAGGCTTTGGAACGCAAATCACTCTTCCAGGGACCCAGACCTCCCATTGCTTTGGCAGTCATTCCTGGGATCTGAAAATCCAAGGAAGGAGATGGGGATCAGGGTCTTGCAGGAAGTGAGAGTAAGAGAAGATTTAGTCAAAAGTCAAGGGTAAAACATTTGGATTCTTTTATTTGAAAACTTAAGAATATTAAAAATTTTCAATATAAAAAATAAAACAAGACTGGCCCAAAGATATCTCTGCCTGGGAATTAAGTGATGACCAGAGAGGCCGGGCATGGTAGTGTACACGTGTAATACCAGCTACTTGGGAGGCTGAGGCAGGAGGATCATGAGTTCAAGGCCAGCATGGGCAGCATAGTAAGACACTGTTTCAAAGAAAAAGAAGAAAAAGTGACTAGAGAGCCAAGGTTTTTTTTTTTTTTTTTTTTTTTTTTTTTTTTTTTTTTTAATCATAAACCAGTCTAGGGCAGATTCATCTTCTTGGGGCAAGATGAAGGAAGGAAGAGGGGTAGACATAGCCTGGTAAGCTGTTTATCCCTTCTCTACATGGTCCAATTTCAATATGAGAATGTGTGTTTTGTCACCTAATCAGATAGGTCCTGATATGGAATATGAAGACCAAATAAAGTCTCATCCCTCTCTCTTGAAGAGCTCACATATTTAAAGGGAGACCAACCAGGTACAGAGCAGATGCACAATTTCTTTGCTCATGCTGTGAGAAATACTTAGCCAGCAGCATCAGTGATCACTGTGGAAGCACCAAAAGAGCAGTAGTTGAATCCTACCTCAGGCCACCAAGATTACCTGTTAAAATCTGAGTTAGCTCTGAAGGATTTGTATATGACCAGGAAAAGGGCCAAGCAAGTGGAGGGACCGYGGTTGTCTCAGGACCTACTGAGACAGGTCAAGTGCATACTTAACACATGGGTCAGGGCTGCCTCCTGCACTTTGCTACGGTCATTATATTCAGCTTAGTTAGGCCTTGTCTGGGAACAGGTGTCTCTCTTGATCTTCTGCCCAAAAAATCCCTATGATGAAAGAAATTGTTGATGACAGCCTCTTTCAAAGGACTATCTGTCCACAAACTGTAGGTTGATGCTTCTTTCGGGCACCAGGACAGTCCTGGTCATGGGTCTGACAGGAGGAGCACCTGGCTCAGGCAGCACCTCAAAATGGGTCAAGATCTGTAAAGGGAAGAAGAAGGCTATCACCATGGGTGAGAAGGAATCTATAATGGGAGGATTAACTGGCAAAGGGCTTTATTAGTGTTAGAATAGTTGGGGTGGCATCTGTGGACAGTAGGGACCTTCTTGGTCAGTGAGGGTAAGGGATTATAGAAGGCAAAAAGTCCAAATATCCTTGTTTATACTTCAGACCTATAATGGCATTGCCATATTTTCAAGGATTAGGTCTGCCAGGTTTTACATGTTTTCCTATGCTTATCATATGACAAGAGCTCACAGTTTAGAGGGGTTGAGTTTCTCAGTCTGGGTACATAAGCTCTCTAACACTTACCTGGGCCAAAGCCATTTGAAGCTCAAGCTCAGCCAAGCGTCTCCCCATGCAGCTGCGCTTGCCAAAGCCAAAGGGAAGAGATGCAAATGGGTGGGGGGCTGGGCCCTCCCCCAGCCAGCGAGCTGGGCGAAAACTGTTTGGCTCTGGAAACTGGGCAGGATCCCTTGAAGTGGCATAGTGACACAGAGAGACCAGCGTCTGGTGGGAGTGGAATCAAACTTGTCAGTTTGGACTCAGAAGCAAAGAGTTAGGTAGAGTGGGGATAGTTATGAAAAAGAAAATCTATGGACTGGGATAAAGTCAGGTTCTGGTTGACAGGGAAGTTTTTTTGGGGCTACTTTTGGAATTATTTCTCTGCTGCCTCATTGTACTCAAGAGAAAGGAATTAAGATCAAGGGGAAGGTTTGAAGGGTGTCTGAGAACAGGACTGGGGCCCAAGATAGTAAGGAGTGGCTCAGAAAAAGGGGCTTCATAGGCTATACTCACATTTTTGGGGATAATGTAGTCACCCACATGAATGTCTTTGTCTGGAACACGGGAATTTCCAGGTACTACAGGGTATAGTCTAGGTTGCAGAGCAAAAGATAGGGAAAAGCAAGATGAGGCTAGGGGAGATAGCCTCTTTCTCATTGCCTCCAACTTCCAAACCCAATTTTGGCCAGCCATAGAATACCATTTTTCTCCTTTCTCCCTGCTTCCCCAGCCTTTCCTCTAGTTCCTCTTCTCCTCCCCCCTCACCTTAGTACTTCCTTGACCACAGCTTTCAGCAGGGGGAGCTGGGACAGAACTGTGGCTTGCGGGTGGGCACAGGAGCCTGGGCCCAGGGTAGCTGTGATCTCAGAATGGAGTGCCCTCTGGACTTCAGGATGCCGGGAGAGCTCATAGAGAGCCCAGGAGAGTGTGTTGGACACCTGAAGGGGCAGGAGAGAGCATCTTAGGTGTTAGGTATGGGGCCTAGTAGAGGCGGCAGAATATGAAGCAGTCTGGGGCCAAGAATGTGCTAAATCAAGGGATTAATTGAGCCCCTTCATGACCATAGGGGATTCCCTGAAGCAGAAAAGTGGCACCAGAGACTGGGGAGGATAAACTCCGGAAGTGGGTCTCTCAGGGTAGAGGGTGAACCTCACCGTGTCCACTCCAGCCAGTAGCAGCTCTGTCACATTCCCCAGGATGGACTGGGCAGACACTTTCTCCCGGAAAAGGAAGTAGGTCAGGTGTGCCCCAGATGGCATGTTCTTTTCAGGGTTTCCCTGGTTCATCGTGGCTACCTCGGTCTCTTGCCGCTCCACGAGCTGCTGGGCTACATGGGGAAAAGACACCCTGATGCCTCACTACCTCTGAGAAGTTGTACTTTTCCCCATTCCCAACCCTCTTCTGTGTCTTACCAAACGCAAACATCTGGTCCCAGTCTCGGCAGAGGCGGGCCCAAGGTCCCGGCACTAGGCRATGCAGCCAGCTGGGCATCGCCATGGTTAACAGCGTAGACACAAACACCGAGCCTACCGCGCGGATGAAAGTCTCGGTGTCCGGGGGCACTTCAGCCTCCAGGCAGCCCAGGCGAGAACCCAGTAGCACCGCGGCTATGCCTGGCCAGGAGGGGGCGCTGTAAGGGCACTGGGAGATCGCTCGRGTGTCTCCCACACCTACCCCTAATTTTGTTTTGGCATTCACCTTCCAGTCCAAACTTGTAAAACTCTCCCGCCACATCCCGAACCAGGGTGGGCGGCCCGGTGCCACGTCCCCTCTGGCGCCTTAGTCGTCGCACAAGATCACAGACCACTTTGTCCAGGGTTTCGGCATAGCCAGCAGCCGCTTGAGGCCGGAGGAGAAGCGGCGCCAAGAGACTACGGAGCTTCTGCCATTCTTCACCTTCCCTGCAGGGGTGCAGAGAGAGGGCGCACTAAGGAGGTGGGGATATCTGAAGATGGCTTGACTGGGGTGGCCAAGTATTGCGTCTCCTCCTTCCAGATTAAAAAAAAAGCTACCCCTGCCTGTGCCCATCTTCCATGTTTCTACCTTCTTTACTCATTTTCTACCCGCCCCTCCTCCGGGGGCGGGGAGGACTGAGTTCCCGGGTAACCTGAGCAAAATAATCTTACATTCTATCCAGATTCTGTACCCTCGCCTTTTCCGGCTGTTACCTCGGTTCCCAGGATTCTGGTCTCTAAGTATAAGGAAGTGAGTGGAGATCGAGAGCAGGGTTCAACCTGAGTTTGGATGGAACAGACTGGAGAACCCCGAGATGCTGGAAGGTTGCAAGAAACAGCGGAGCTTTCTCTAAGCCTCTGCATATATTGGGTTGCAACTCACTAGGACTCGCTGTCAGGAGTATGAGCTTTGAGGGCAGAGAGGACTCACGCGGTAAGTAGTCCGCAAGCCCGCTGGTGGCGGCGACGGTGCTCCGCCCAGGACGAGAAGCTGCAACGCTCTGGCCGAGGACCCTCTTGTCTCAGGAGCTGTTCGACGAGTGCAGGGGAGGCCAAATACACTGTGCGCAGGGTCCCGAATCTGGCCAGCCACATGGGGCCGAAGCGGGCAGCGCCCTGCACCTGGGAAAACCCATGCAGCAGACACTAGGATACCCTGGATGGGCACTGAGTTTGGCTTGTGCCAATGCCAAGCGCACTTAACTAGGCTTGGGACCCAGGAGTTTCTTGAGTGCCCAGCTAAGTATATGGCCACAATGCTTGAAACTCCTTCTCTACCGTCTTGGAAAGTTTGAATGTGGTGGGCCAAACGGAGGAATTTTGTGTCATGCAGACATTCAGGACCTCTTTTTGGTCATCTGGGCAAAACCAAGGAGGAGAAATCCCTAAAGCTTCCCCCACCTGAGCTGTCTATTTCAGGAAGAGTCCCTAGCGAATGAAAGTGAACTCGTAGATTTACAGCCAAACGTGCAGGAGGATCCCCAGCACTACCTTTCCCGCATTCTTATCTTACAGGGTCAGGAAACGTTTGTACAGAGAGAAAGCTCTGAGGGCAACCCCTTGATTCTGCACTCGTCGAAATACCTTCCCCGACCCCAGTCCCATCGAGCCTTTTTTTTTTTTTTAAATAATTCATGGGCATCCATTCTCACCAACTGTCCTATGTTCCGTCCTTGCTGGCGTTATCAAAGCCAGTTCCCCCAGCTCCAGGAACAGAGACTTGTCCCTTCCTACCTGCAGTTCGTGTAGTCTCGACAGTCCCCCTTTGCAGAAAAGTTCAGCCAAGAAGGCAGGCATGGAGGGGCCGGGGATGTCCGCCAAGCTCCCGGGCGTTGAGTTGGAGCCTCGGGAGGCGCCCAACTCAGGAGCCCAGCGGACGCGATGGAACACTCTGGAGAACTTGAGGGTTTGGGTCATGGTGCAGTTCAGAGAACCCGAGAGAGCCCTTCTCTGGCGCATTTGGACTACTTGCCTGAACCCCTATTTAAGCCCTGACAAGGCAGTGACAACACCCCTTCTCAGAGCTTCTTAGCCAATCCCGTTTTCCTGAGTGGTCTATGTTCAAGATTAGCACTCAAGATCAGTAAGCAGGTCTGCGATTAATTTTGTGSCTTTTTTGGATCTCATGCTGCAATGACCCTTGTTGGAGGGGAGGCCTGTCTCAGTTTCTCCTTGGTAGTTAGTGCCCTAATCCAACAACTAAAGGTCTTTTCTGGGGAAAGGTTATTTAGGATTTATTTAGATTACAGGAGACAACCTTGGGGGTAATTCCCACTTCCCCAGGGAACCAAGCCCCTATTGAGCCATCATTAGGAATTCCTCATCCTCCAGCTTCTCCACAAAGGAAAAGAAGGGAAACCTAGTAGAGGCTGTAACTGTCCCCACATTTTTGGCTTGTTGGGGTACATTTGCGTTCTCTGTGCAGATGAGCAGGATCTACCTTTCCCATTGTATCATACTCATACTAGGCAGGTGGCAGGTGGGTTAATGGGTTAAAATGGCTTCAGGCACCTCATCTGTTTCTTCAGGAGGGGTCTCTTAGGTCAGTGAGTGCTCTCTTTCTACCCATGGGAATCTGGAGTTTGAGGAACAGAAATGAAAGAACTTTTTGCAAAGTAGAAGTTTGGAAATTCTCTGGACTGTTGGATGAGCAAGGGCTGAGTGCATGCTCTGAATTCCTAGCGGACTCTCCTTTTAAGTAGCTGTCTGGTCAATCGCTCCTTTCCACTTTTAGCTTTAAAATTCTCCATAGTTTAGGGCTGGAATTGTGGCTCAATGGTAGAGCACTTGCCTAGTATGTGTGAGGCACTGGATTTGATCCTCAGCACCACATATAAATAAATGAATAAAATAAAGATCCATCAACATCTAAAAAATATTTTTTTAAAAAGAGAATTCTCCATAGTTTAGATCTCTGCTTCTTACATCTCAATCCCCTCACTATCCGTGTCTGGCACTGTGCCAGTCAGCTCTGAAGTTCTGGAATCAAAGGTTTACATGGAAAAAGAGAGGGTCTCCACCCCCTTACCACCAGGGATTCTCCAAGACAGCAACAATAAAGGGGGCAGAGATTGCCCCAGTCAAGTCTTAGGCAGGGAGAAGATGAGAGGAGGCTCCTGATACACCCCCCACCAATGTTTCCCGAGAAATAGCAGCATGGGCATGCGTGAGCATGCATACACATTATTCCCCAGGACTGCAAAGAAAACACAAGTGGACAAATGATTTGAGCTGAGTAGAGAGTTTAGACAGTGGGACATTGCATTCCGCATCCCACATAAGGAGAGTCCCCACAAGGAGCAGGGAGTACTACAGGAGGACAAGACCCTACACCCTTCCAAAGGTCTCCTCCGGCCAAGGTCCTTTGTCCTTCCCAGTTATCTGCTTGTGCTTTCTGCTGGCATTGGATGAATTAGAAAGTGAGAACACTAGCACCTCCCCAACTTTTGGAGAGAATGCAGTCTCCCAGCCCCACCAGGCTCAGGTGGGAAGGCCCAATCTCTTTGGAAGAGGCCTGATCTTCTTTCCTGTCCCTGGAAGATGGGGTTCAGCTAAGGTAGGGTAGGCAGTCAGTGACCAGGCAGGGTAGAATTGGGGGTCAATGCCTAGAGGGCAGGATCCTGTATTCTTCGGAAGATAGCTGGGAAATTCTTTCCTCCATTACGTAGAACTTTCTTTCCCTCCTCTGTTGAGGTGCCTAGATGTCCTATAATGGGATCTTCACTCTGGAAGAAGGAATGGTCCAATAAGTCCTTTCCCACTTTTCAGACTCCCCAACCCCTAGACTGCCATCCCATCCTCCTGGCCCTGACCTGGGTTCAAAGAGTATAGAAGTACTCTGGAAAGGACCTGCATCCTTACATTTCCCCTAGGCCCTTTACTTACCAGCTCTTCCAGAGGCACACGCTCAAACAAGGGGTGCCCTTCAAAATGGGTGCACATCCAGTGGTGTAGCTCCAGCACATCAGTTATGGTATATACCAGCCCCTGCATAGGCAAAATCAGCCTAGGTAAGGGCTGTATGCAACTGAGCAGCAAAATGATGGGAGTGATGATGGAAGTTCCTAAATACATTTCCAACTAATTCTTAGTGAAGATTCCAAGTAAGCCACTCACCCCTCCTCCTTCCCAACTCACCCCAACTCTTAGTACATAGGCATATTCTGCCAGCAGTGTGGGACTGATGATTCGCCACTTGTGCTTTGTTCGCTTGAAGTGTGGATCAGGAAAGAGGAAGAACATCTTTGTCAACTGTGAGACAGATAGGCACCAAGAAGGTTGAGACCTGGCCTCTAGGCCTGGCCTGCTTACCAGCCTAACCCACCAGGTCCCCTCCCCACCTGGCCTTTGCGGAAGAAGTTAGGAAGGTGCTTCATGGCATTACTACGGAGACAGGCAATGTTCTGGAAGCCACCTCCAGGGGCTGTGCGAAGTGCCCGAATCCGGTCTTGTACATAGTCTGAGACCTTCACACGTATCTCCAGACCCAGAATCAGAGTGTCTGGAAACAGTGGTGATAGTTCCACTGGAAACAGAAATAGCAATGGGATCATCAACCTCATACTTGTGGAAATTCAAAGGGGTCAACACAAGAAAGGAGGACTCAATCTGCAACTACCAAAGCCAAGAATGGGTATGATATACCTATATGAATTATTCTCTGCTGGGGATGAGTTGGGGGAGATACAAAAATTGTCACCAGGATTACAATGGGAAGGCTGAGTTACATATGCAATTTCCTTTACAGTTTTCACAGTGATTTCATACATGGTCTTATTTAATTTCTATAAGATTCTRCGGTAGACTGAGAAGATGAGGACTCTAAGGGCCAGAAATGTTCAAGATCATAGAGCTAAGAAGGGGTAGAGCTGGAACTTAAACCAAGGTTTTCTACCTCTAAGTACCATGTTCTTCTCCCTATCAGGCTGTTATCTGTATGGAAAGATCTAAAACTAGGGAAGTGGCATGACATGCATACCTGAAACAATACAGACAGTATAATAGGAACCCCAAAACATAAGAGTGGAGAAGAAAAAATGTGACTAGTTGAAGGTGTGGTGGGGGTTAGGGAAAGTGGTGGAATCCCTGAGAAAGACAGTTCAGGATCACTGACCACAGCAGCTAATCTCTGACGCTTGTGCTGACCGGCTCACTGACCCAGCACCTGGCAGGCAAAATGGGGCTCAAGTAGGGACTGAGGCCAGACAGAACAAATGAGGTTCTAAGAGGCATTTGAGGCAACCCCCTCCCTTCTCCAAGGCAAAGGCCACACATCCAGAAGGGAGGTGGGAGGCTTTCCACACTGATGTCACCAATGTCTTAAGGGGGAAAGGTCACCTGTAGTCCCCATCAAACCTGCTGAGGTAGCAGAACCTAGGCCCCTCCTCACTCCAGAGAAAGAGCCAGTGTTACCTAACAGGCCACCATAGCCACAGCCTATGTCTGCAAATTCCACTTGGGCCTGAGCTCGATTTTCTTTCTTATCCTTTGGGTCATCATGGCTCTGATTTTGAGTGAGTGGGGCGAAGAACTCTGGATATAGCTCAGACCAGTCCATCTCCTCTGGCTTCACAGGGCTATTGGAAAGAAGACATAAGACATGTAAGAATATTGGTTATGCAATTTTTCAGAAGTGGGATTGCATGTGTATGGGTGGAGTATACAGAGGAGGATTTCTCAAAAATTCTGTAACACTAGACCCTAGTAGGCACAACGGAAAGCCCCCTCGCTCCCAGTGTGAATCACAGGCCCATTATGAGGCCCACAATTGTTGATCTGCCCATCTCCACTTCTGGGGTTGATATGACCCTGACTGGGCAGCTCTCATTTCTGGGACACAAGTTCCCCTTCTCCTAGAGACTGCCTAAGGCACTGAGATCCTCCTATTTTGTGTGCTCTGCGAGGAGACAGTAAGATAAGGAGTGTAGGATTGTGTATATCTTTGTGGTTTTTTGTTTTGTTTTTGTTAAACCCAGCAAACAAAAGTGAAAGATGGAAACGACAACCTGCTAGTTTCAGTAACTCTCTTCCCAGATTTGGCACCGCTACTAGGACGCCACGCCCCCTTCCAACTGGCCAGCTCAGCCCTCAGCCAAATCTCTCCGATCCACCCCCTAACTGACGTCACCCAGTTGATTCTCCCGGGTCCATCCCAATCCTCCCKACAGTGCCAGCACAATTGCTCTCCCTGGCTGCTCGGAGGCTCCAGCCCTCTTTCCGCTCCCCCTGCCCGGCTCCTCACTAGCGCAGCGTGTGGTCCGCCATAGGGTTGGAGTGGGCGCGTTGCCTGTAGTAGCGCTTCTGAGGCTGCGGGGCCTCAGCTCCCACTGGGGTTCCAGTCTCKATTCCCGCCATGATGCCCGGTCGCGGGTTTCACAGCATCCACGTGGAGGCCGAGGCCGAGGCGCAAGGTAATGACGCACAAGCATGCTGCAAGCAGGTCCCGCCCCCTTAAAGACCCAAGAGCAAATTCGACTGGGCTGAGCTGGGAGGAGCTCAAGGGTCGAGTGCCGGAGCTGGCCTCCGCACCGCTAGTTTCTAAGCCGTTTGGCAAGGCCAGTCCGGGCACCAACCTCTTCTCTTAGGTTGTTTCTGCACGGTCTGATTACCATGCCTGGCTGCAGGTACCTGTGCACCCCACAGGTAGGAGGGATCTGGGGGCCTCGCCTCCTACAGTGGAATCAAGCACGTTTCTCTTTCCTCTCCCCGATCCCGAGCCCTCTGGCGAGGACACACACACACACACACACACACACACACACACACACACACACCACACACACACACCTGTCTGTTCCTAAGTAGGTCCTGTTGGGTATATACTAGGGACCAAGGCAGGAGGGGCAGCTCCTCATTCCACCTCCAGGAAGTCCATCTGGAGAAAGGAGTGCTGACTCGGGGAGGCGGGGCTCGATGCCACGGGGAAACCGAGACGGGGGGTGCGGGGGCGGCCCTCAACCTCTACTCCGCCACAGACCCGGGATCCGAGCACCCGCCGTGGCTCCGGGGTACTCTCTTGCCGGATGGCGAACTGCCGCCGGGATCCCGAATCAGAGCCGGAGTCAGTGTTCCCTCACGAAGTCGGCCTCTTTACTGACTCTTACTCCGAGAAAAGCCGGTTCTGTTTCTGTGGGCATGTACTGAACATCACGCAGAATTTTGGTTCACGACTCGGGGTGGCTGCAGGCGTGTGGGATTCGGTGAGAAAAGGGCTATGCCAGTTGAGGGTCCCTGGGAGGTACCACCGACCCTCGATTCCTAGTCTTCCCTATGGAGTCATCTCTGCCACTCTCTTTTCTCTCCCCCACCCCTCATAGGCTCTGAGCTTGTGCAACTATTTCGAAAGTCACAATGTGGATTTTCGAGGCAAGAAGGTGATCGAACTGGGCGCAGGGACCGGCATCGTGGGAATCTTGGCAGCGCTGCAGGGTGTGTGAGCTGGCATTGCGGAGGGAGGGGTTGGGGAACGGGAATGTGGAGAAATTGTCACTTTGTGGACTCTTGGGAGACGGCAGTGCTTTGGGTTCAGCCCAGTCCTTCTCTTTAACAACCTCCCCCCCCACACACCCCCACCTCCACCCCCGCCACCACCTTCTGTGACAGAAAGCACTAATTAGCTGTCAGAGCACCCAGGATGGTTGATTTGAGGGCAAGAAATAAAAATTGGGCAGGTCTTGTAGAAGTAGTTTCTACTTTTGGTGGTGGTGGGGAGAGGCGTATCAGTGATTGAACCCAGGAGTGCTTAATCACTGAGWCATCCTCAATCCTTTCTGTTTTTTTATCTTGAATTCTGAGACATTGTCTTGCTAAAGTTGCTTTGGGCCTCGCTCAGTTGTTGAGTCTGACCTTGAATTTGCAGTCCTCCTGCCTCAGCCTCCCCAGTCATTGGGGTAACAGATATGTGCCACCAATCCAGATAGTTTCTATCTTTTTGCTCTCTGTGATTTCATGGGGGAGTTTGTCAATTAAAGTCGCCTTTGGGCATGGCATAGTGGCCCATGACTATAATCCCAGTGACTGGGGAGGCTGAGTCAGAAGGATTGCAAGTGTAAGGCCAGCCTAAGCAACTTAGCGAAGCCCTAAGCAACTTAGCCAGACCTTATCTCAAAAAATAAAAATAAAAAGGGCTGGGGATGTGGTTTAGTAATAAAACACCCCTGAGTTAAATCTCCATTACAAAAACAAGACAAAAAAAATCCTCTTTGGCTTGGAGGTGGTCTTCTGTCAAAATGCATATGTGGGGGTATCATGTAGAAAAGTGACCTGTGGGTATTAAACCTTGTGACTGCTTTAGACTTCATTATGTATTAATATATGTTAGATTCCTTGGGTTTTTGGGAAGTGGGGGTAGGAATTAAGCATGGCAGACTTGGAAAAGGAAAGGATAAGGAAAAGTTTGCTTGTATCAAGAACCAAAAACTAAAAAAAAAAAAAAGTCTCTTATAATCTAAGGAACAGACAAACCCTACACTGAAAGTAATTATCTAAAAACTTTTTTTTTTTTTTTTTTGGAGTGGTATCAGGGGTTGAACCCAGGGACACTTAACCACTGAGCCACATCTCTGACCCTTTTTTATTTTTTATTTTGAGGCAGGGTCTCCCTGAGTTGCTTAGGGCCTTGCTGAGGCTAGCCTTGAATTTGCAATCCTCCTGTCTCAGCCTCTCAAATGCGAAAGGGAATTTTAATTGACAAATCCCCCATGAAATCACAGAAAGCAAAAAGATAGAAACTGCAGGGAGCAGTGGTACATGCCTATAATCCCAGTGACTGGGAAGCTGAGGCAGAATTGCAAGATCAAGATGAGCTTGAGCAATTTAGTGAGGCCCTAAGCAACTCCTGTCTCTAAATAAAATACAAAAAAGGACTGAGAATGTGGCTCAGTGATTAAGTGCACCTGGGTTCATTCCCTGGTACCCCCCCAAAAAAAAACCACCCCCAAAAAACAAATATGAATGAAGTCATGCAAATTAGCATGCCCTTGTTCATAAAAGCAAAACTAGGTTTTGGGAACCTAGTTAAGGTTCCTATATTAAATGAAATATTTTTTAAAAATATTTATTTTTTAGTTGTAGTTGGACACAACACCTTTGTTTTATTTATTTATTTTTATGTGATACTGAGGATCAAACCCAGGACCTTGCACATGCGAGGCAAATGCTCTACCTCCGAGCCACAACTCCAGCCCCCCTTTTTTTTTAATTAAAATTTTTTTTTTTAGTTGTTGATGGACCTTTGTTTTTTATTTATTTATTGCGGTGCTGAGAATCGAAGCCAGTTCCTCATACATTCCAGGCAAGTGTGCTACCTCTGAGCCACAGTTCCAGYGGCTAAAGGAAGTCTTCCCAGAGATAAGCATTCCTTCAACCAATAGTATTCCAAATTCCCTAAGTGCCAGAAGTCATGCTAGATATTGGGAATTCAACAGTGATTTTCCAGGACTCCATAAGGAGCTTGTGGTTTAGTGGAGAAAATGGGGGGAAGATGCTGCTGTTCAAGAGCTTTGGTGATGTATGTACAGAGCCAGTAGACTTGCTCTGGCCCTGTCTACCTTAACTCCCTGGGAATCCATCAGGGGAGAGCTCTGTTAGGTGAGGAGGAGATGAACATTGTGAAAACAGGGAATGTCAACAGCAACTTTTCCATGAGGGATGAATGGAAAAGTGTCAGGTAGTTATATTAACAGGAGAAAAAGCAGGCATATATATATATATATATATATTTTTAAGATGTGAATTGTTTTTACCAATTTTAATATATATGAATATATATATTTATATTTATTTATACTTTTATTTATTGATTATTATGTGGTGCTGAGGATCGAACCTGGGGCCTCGCACGTGCTATGCTGAGCCACAATCCCAGCCCAAAAGCATCCATATAATGGGAACACTTACCTTCACTTGCTACCAGACTAGCTTCTTTTCCTTTGCTCCCTGTTAAGTTGCCAAGTTAGAAATCTGAATGTTATCTATCTATCTTTCCATCTATTTATCTATCTATCTTCTGTCTATCTCTCTTTTCTTGGTACTGGAGATTATATCCAGAGGCACTTAACCACTGAGCAACATCCCCATCCCTTTTTATTTTTTTATCTTGAGAGCAGATCTTACTAAATTGCTAGGGCCTCTCTAAATTGATGAGTCTGGCCTTAAATTTACAATCCTCCTGCCTCAGTCTTCCTTGCCACTGGGATTACAAGTGTATGCCACCACACCCAGCTATGAGTGTCATTTTGTCTCTTTCCCTTTCCCTCAAATTCCTGGTAATCAGCCAGTCCTTGCATTATATGTCCTTAGCTCTTCCACAGTTATCTGCTCTACTTCCCACCACGTTGAGTTTAGGCCATTACCATTTCTTGCCTGGTTTTTCACAAGAGCCTTCATGCTTCCCTATGCGAAAGTTTGGCATACCCAACCTAGATTCTGTGATCCTCCCTCAGGCTTCCTCATTTTGGTGAATCAAAYCACCATCCTCCCAATGTACCTAGACATAACCTTTCACATGTCATTGTTTATCACCCCTATATCATTATTCAAGTCCTATTGATTTTATCTCCTGAAAAATTTCCTGGATTTTTTCATGTATTGTCATATCCACTGATAGCTTCCCAGTCCAAGCGACCATCACCACTTGCTTGGACTGCAACATAGTCATTCTAGTCTTCCTACCTTGACTTTTTGCCCCTACTTAGACTTCTGCCCACTCCACTCAGCAGTCAGAATGACTTTCAAAATGCAAATGTGGAACTGGGCACCGTGGTGCATGCCTGTAATCCCAGCAGTCTGGGAGGCTGAGGCAGGAGTATCATAAGTTTGAAGCCAGCCTCAGCAAAAGCAATTCAGTGAGACCCTGTCTCTAAATAAAATACAAAATAGGGCTGGGGAGGTGGCTCAGTGGTCAAGTGYCCTTGAGTTCAGTCCCCAATACCAAAAAAATGCAGATGTAATCACACCCCACCCCATTCCAAAACTTTTAGTGGGTTCTTTTTGTTTTCAGGATAGAACAAATACCTTTAGTATGGCCTCCGATGCCTTACCTCTCTCTCTAGCCTTTTTCTTTCTTCCTCTTTTTTCTTCATATTTTTTTTTCAGCAGGGAGGTACTAGTGATTGAATCCAGGGCTTTGCATGTACTGAACAAGAGTTCTACCACTGAGCTAAATCTCCAACTCTTATTTTATTTTGAGACAGGGCCTTGAACTTGTGATCCTTCTGCCTTAGCCTCCTGAGAGCTGGGATTACAGATGTGCACCTAGCTCTCCAGCTTCTTTTTGTTCTTCTCTTTCCCTCCTGTCCTCTTTATGCTATTGCCCTTTTGTTGGTTCCACAACCTACTTTGATGTTCCCTTCCTTGGGGACTTTACACAGGCTGCACTTTCTGTCTGAAACCCTTTTGCTACCTGGTTAATGCATATGCATTCCTCATTGCTCAGCTCAACTATCACTTCCAAGGAAAAGCTTCTTTGATAATTCCACCCCAGGCCAGTTTAGGCCTTTCTAGTACATATCCATCTGTACTCATTGGTCTCATTTTAAATTTGCTATCACTGACAGGTGGGTCTTAAATGCTAGTCTGTTACACTTCCCCTTTTCTGCTTATTCTTCCACTCCCCTAAACATCTGTTTCTTCCTTTCTTGTTCTTCAAAACTGTGAGTGCCTCTTCCACTATCATCACCCTCAGCTGATGACTTTGTTTTCCATCTCCTGATTGCTTGTATTTTCTCAAAAAATGTCCACATGCTCCTGCTGCAACATCTATTCTCCTGTGTCTGAGTCTGATACATTGCCTTCTGCTTTGTTGTTGTTTTTAGTGGTATTAGGGCTAGAACTCAGGGACCCTCTACCAATGAACTACACCCTCAGCCCTTTTTATTTTATTTTGAGACAGGGTCTCACTGAGTTGCTGAGGCTGGCCTTAAACTTGTGATCCTTCTGCATCAGGCTCCCAAGTGGCTGAAATTACAGGTGTCCACCAACACATCTGGCTGCCTTTTGCCTTGTTATCATGGATCAACACACTGTGCTAGCTATAGTCAAACCCTCCATTTGTCTAAAGATTCTAAATTTTCCCACCAGCTCAAAGACACCGTTCCAGCAACAGCCCCCAAGCATCTTCTGTATTGTTGATTTTTCCTTCTCTTTGGGTTTTATTCTCCTCCCCTCTCTCTATATGTGATTATGCTATGTATAATTATGTCTACTGTCTACACATATTTTATATTATTATATATACATACATACATAAATATACTATAATTTCTCCTATCTCAGAAAAAAATACTCTGATCCTACATCTCCCTCCAGATACCAAGCCATTTTTTCTGCTCTGCTTTAAAAAAAAAAATTCCTCAAAAGAGTTATTGTTCACTGTCTCTGCTTCTTCTTCTGTTTTTTTCTCCATCCATTCCAATCCAGACTGCACCATGCCTTTCACTTCAATGGCTCTAGTTAAGGTTATGAGCTTCCCTTTCAACTTTGTATTGTTAAACCCAGGAGTCTGTCCTCAGCCCACCTCAATCAACTCTGCATTTGACATTGCCACTTCCTCCTTGAAACTTTCTTTGTTTTCTGGAGTGCCACACCTGTTTCTGCCTGCCTGACTGGCACACTTTTCCCTTCTCTTTTGTCAGTGGCTATTCATCTTCGCAACTAAAAATTTGAGTGCCCCAGAGCTCAGGTAGTAATCTTTTGACCTTTTCTTTTTTCTGACTACATTCCCTCCTGAGCACTCTCAACACTTTGTGGCTTTGAATGTCCTTTTCATGTTTGTGACTATCTACTCAGTATCTTTATGCAGTGTCCAGAAACGACATTATAATTTCCTATTCAAACCACCTGCTGTAGCACTATTTGTTCAGTTGAATGGCAATTTGGTTTTCTAGTTAGGCCAAATGTCTGAAAACTATCCGAACTTTCCCTCTTTCTCTGTCATATTTCATATTCAATGTGTTGGCAAATCCTGTGGATTCTATCTCCAAAATATATTCAGAAATATATTCTTTTGATATTTGAATATATTAAAAATACATTTGGTGGTACATGACTGTAATCCCAGCAACTTGGGAGACCAAAGTAGGAGGATTAAATTTGAGGACTTTAAGTTTGAGGCCAGCCTGGGCAACTTAGCAAGACTTGTCTCAAAATAAAAAATAAAAAGGGATGGGGATGTAGATCAGTGGTAGAATACCCCAGGTTCAAATCCCCCAATGCCCTCTAATTGCAGAAACCAAAATACATCCCTTAAAACATTAAATCAGTTTATGCCTTTCTTCCATTTAAAATTCTTCCACAGTTTCCTGGAAATTTGAAAGCCAGATTTCTCAATCTTCTTATAAGACCCTGACTATGATCCAGTGCCTACTATTGTCCCCTTTACTCTCTACTCTAGCTTCTGACACACTGTTCCTCACTCGCATCAGGCACCAGAGTCCTACCTCAAGGTCTTTTTGCTTGCTGTTCTGTCACTTGGTAGACTTTAGCCTGAGAGATCCACGTGATTTGCTCTATGCTGCCTTCAGGTCTTTGCCCAAACATAACCTGCTTATGGAGACTTTTCCCAATCATCCAATTTAAAATGACACTCCCTGTCCTGATCCTTAAACATTTCTTATTTCTTTTCTTGCTTGACATTTCACCATAACACTTATTACCATTTGACATATGGTGTATTGTATTTCCTTTTTTTTTTAATTGTTGTCATCTGTTTCTTGCTACTAGACTGTAAGCTCCATAGGAAGGGGACACTTGTCTGGCTGGTTCACTGCTGTAGTCTCAACACCTGGCATATAAGCACATGATAAAAATGAATGAATTCATCCTTAGTACTTCCTACATCTCTTTCTATAATACTCATCATGATTATAGTTAAATAATGATTTTTAATTTATAGTTAAATAGTTAATTTTGCAGTACATAGTGCATTTCTACCTCTAGAATAAAATTCAAGGAAAGCTGAGGTTTTGTTTTGCTCTCCACTGTATCCTTAGCACTTCTGGGTGCTCAATTTATTGCATGAATGCTTTCTGAAATGCTAATCTGATCTTCACCCTGCTTTTTTTTTTTGGTACTGGGGATTGAACCTAGGGACACTTAACCACTGAGCCACATCACCAGCCCTTTAAAAATATTTTTATTCAGAGACAGGGTCTTGCTAAGTTGCTAGCTTTGAACTTTCGATCCTCCTGTCTCAACCTTCCAAGCTGCTGAGGTTACAGGTGTGCACCCCCATGCCCAGTCCTGCTTCTCATCTTAAATCCTATTGCCCTCTATGAAACCTAAATCTCCTTAGCATGTTATGGTCTTCTTTTCTCATGTCTTGACACTTTTCTGTTCCACAACCTTTAAGTTACAGCCTTCTTTGAACATGTCATACTTTTCTCCTGCCAGGCCTTCATATTCACTATCCTCTGCTTGGAAAGCAACACCTGACTAACTCCTGCTTTCCCTTTAGAGCTCAGCTGAGGTCATGTCTTCTGGGAAGCTTTCCAGATCCCTGAAGGCAGCTTGTGTCAGTGGGGGTAGGTGCATAGCCCATCTCCAGCTCAGTCGTGCCCAGGCTTCTGCTGACATCTGATTGTTGTGTTTGGCAGAGAGGTTGAAGATTAGCTCAGAGGGAATGTTGATGTTGTAGAATGTGGAGTAATGAGAATAGCAGTCGGTGAGATGGATGTTAGGGCAACTAAAAGTCAAAGTGTGGACTTTGGGCTGTGAAGACATTGCCCTCTAGGCATTGTGGTCTCTGGACCTTCCAACCAGGAGCCGGTGGTTGGTCCCTCTGACTTGCATTTCTCCTCCTTGCTCTCTCTCAGGGGGGGATGTTACCATCACTGACCTGCCAGTGGCCCTAGAGCAGATCAAGGGCAATGTCCAGGCTAACGTGCCAGCCGGAGGCCGGGCCCAGGTTTGTGCCTTGTCCTGGGGGATTGATCAGCATGTCTTCCCTGGAGACTATGACATAGTGCTGGGGGCTGATATCGTGTACATGGAGCCCACCTTCCCACTGCTACTGGGAACCCTCCAACATCTGTGTGGGCATCATGGCACCATCTACCTGGCCTCCAAGATGAGAGAGGAACATGGGACAGAGAACTTCTTTCAGCACCTTCTTCCCCAGCACTTCCAACTTGAGCTGGCCCAGCGGGATGAGGATAAGAATGTCAACATCTATAGGGCCAGGCACAGGGAACCAAGACCTGCTTGATGTCATTCCATTCCAGTAAAGGAACTGCATTTCTCCAAAGCTGTATCTCCAGAGCCACAAACACAAGGACCAAAAAAAAAAAAAAAAAGGATTTCCTTGGTGTCTCTCTCCCCCTTCCTTCTTTGTTCCCACAATTGTGCTTGGACAGATGAAGGCAGGTGTTTGTTTGCTAAGAATTCTGGAGTCCTAGAAGGATTGGCTTTTAGAGCGTAAAGGGGTTTTGCACAAAGGAGGTTGGAAGGGTCCCTGGGATATTTAAAAGTAAAGAAGGTAAATAAGATATGAGAACAGTGGCTGCAGTGAGACTGTCACTGATGACTTCCAGTCCTATTTATACAGAATGGACTTTTTAAAAAACCAAGATCTAGTCAGGCATGGTGGTGCAAGCCTGTAATCCCAGCAACTGGTGAGGCTGAGGCAGGAGTATCGCAGGTTCAAAGCCAGCCTCAGCAAAATCGAGGAACTAAGCAACTCAGTGAGACCCTATCTCTAAATAAAATACAAAATAGGCTCAGTGCCTCTGAGTTCAATCCCTGGTACACCCAAAAAAGAATAATAATTTTAAAAAATAATAAAAAAATAGAAAGGGCTGGGGATTGTAGCTCAGTGGTAAAGTGCCCCAGTACCGAAAACAAAACCCTAAATCTTTGGGACTGGGTTTATAGCTCAATGGTAGATCACTTGCCTTGCATGCATGAGGCACTGGGTTCAAAATTCAGTACCACATAAATATAAATAAGAAAGATATTGTGTCCATATACAACTAAAAAAAAAACCCCAAACCCCCAAATCTAAAATCTATGGAGTACCCCCTCACACCCCAACAATAATCTGGTAGGGTCATGGCTCTAACTGGGTCAGGTCCTCCCAATCCTGAAGCTGGGGATAAGCAGCAGAGCTGTCTTTTGGGCTATAGCTTCTTTTTCCTTTTCAGAGCTGGATTCTGATATCAGAACATAGTGCAGTGCAGAACATGGACTAAGTGCTAGATTCTTCTCACCTTTGGTTTTCCTTTCTAAGCTCCATTAGTCATTCTTTTCTAATGTGTTTGCTTCATTTTTTGTCTCCTCTCATGCTAGCTTCTCTGGTCCAGGATCTCTTCTTGCTTAGGCACATAGTCTCCTCTTCTGGACCCTCTGCCACTTTCTCTCACCTTGGAGCCAGTCTGCAAACTTGGAATCTTCCAAATCAGCTCTGATTAGCTTCCACTGCTTGTAAAAGCAAGAACAAGCTCCTCTGCTTAGTACTTCCATCTAATCCCAATTTACCTCTCTCTTTCATTTTCCATTCTTTTCCTACACGTATTGGGCCTCTGACCAGATTGTAAAAGGTCTATTCTTTGTTTTCTAAATCCATACAAGAGTTCCTGACTTCTTCTGTCTTTATGATGATTCCCTGCCTGGAAGGGCTATTGCTACCTGTCAAAAAATCTTGCTTTTTGCCTCTTTCCTGAAAAAAAGATTTTCAGCTCCTGTTTGAATGCGATTTTTTCCCTCTGAGATCCTTTAACTGTTCCTCTTATGGGACTTTGACTTGTGTGAACATTTGTCTTATCCTTGTTTTTTCACTGTGGGATTTCCTTGGAGGGTAGAGCTGTGGTTCGTTTATTCATGTCTAATTCCCCGAAGGTTAGCACAGTTCCTGGCACACAAGTGTTCCACAGATATTTTGCTGATTTAACAAATACTTGCTAAGTTTATTGGAGGGATTCTACCCATCTACCTGCCTCAGGGAGTTTGTCATGAGTAGTAAGTGGAAAATGAATGTGAAAATACATTGGAAATAAAAAAAAACCAAGTGTCAACCATTCGTCTTACATTATTATTTTGTGACAACTTTATCCTTTGATTTTTCTTATTTTTCCTGTCGCGGATAACTCCCTGTGAAGTGTCTGAATCTATGCTGTCTCCATAAGTTTAAGCTGAATGGAGGCGACTGTGTTCCTCTTGCCAGCAGGTGGAGCCACTCTTGTTTGCCACGTTCTGGGGAAGAATTTTGACCCTTCCGCCACGTCGTAGTCGGTCGTTTGGCCCGTACGTCAGCGGGCGGGAGTGAGCCGTAGCTGGCGAGATGTCCCTGCTGCGGTCGCTGCGCTTTTTCCTGGACGCGCGGACAGGGAGTCTCCCGGTGAGGACACCTGGCCCGGTGCTCACATTGCCTTCCTTGTAGTTTTCCTGTGCGTCCGGAGCGCACCCCTTCCCTTATCCCGACCCGCATTCAACCCGGTTCCACCTCCTCCACCGGCATTGACTCTTCTGTGTCCAGCTCCAGTCGCTGCCCTGTCCTTGTCTCCCCAGCCCTAAGGCTGCCTCGGAGCTGACGTGCTCTCTTCCCTCTCCCCGTCTCCTAACTGCTTCCGGCTTCTCATCCCTGCCTTCTCACCCTTTCCAGGCCGGGTCCCTTCGGCTTCAGTCGCCCCAGCCACGGCACACCTTTCACGCTGCGTCCTGGTTGTCTGCCTCTTCTTCCAGCAAGGAGCTCCTTAGGAAGCTGCGGCAGAAAACAGGCTACTCCTTTGTAAATTGCAAGAAAGCTCTGGAAACTTGTGGTGGAGATCTCAAAAAGGTTGGAAGGGGATGCAGTGTAGGGTACTAGGGTCCAACTTTAGTCTGGAGAAGTGATACTGGAGAGCGTAGGTGAGACCTGATGACCAGTGGCCCATAACRGCAGAAACCTAGATGGCATTCTGGCTTAAACAACCACCTCAGCCTGTGTTAGTGGGGAGAAATTGACTCAGGGTTAACGAAYCCTATATCATGCGAGACTGCTTGGTGTTTTCTGCCGCATGGACCTGTGTGCACTCAGGAATCAGACCCTCTAGGACTCAAATTATGGTGCCTTCACATCAATATTTTGTAAACATTTAAATTAATCTTTTATTGTTGAATCATTCTTTAAAAAAATATTCAGTTTTTAGTTTTTTAAATGGACACAATGTCTTTATTTTACATTTATATGGTGCTGAGGATTGAACTCAGTGCCTCAAGCATGCTAGATGAGCACTCTACCACTGAGCCATTGGCACAGCCCCCATAGTTGAATCATTCTTGTCTATATAATGAAAATAATACCATTTTCTCCATAGGGTGGTTGTGAAGATTAAAGTTGTACAGAGCACCAGTTTCTGCAATCTATACTCAGCATTTAGTGGTGTACTGCCACTAGAATTATAGAATTTAGGGGAAGCATAAAGAATCAGGGAACTTGAACATATTTTAGAACATCATTCAGTATAAATTCTGTGACGTCATCATCTGCTCTTCTTCTTTCCAATTTATAGGCAGAGATCTGGCTTCACAAGCAGGCCCAGAAGGAGGGCTGGAGCAAAGCTACAAAGCTCAGTGGGAGAAAGACTAAAGAAGGACTGATTGGGCTGCTGCAAGAAGGAAATACTACTGTATTAGTAGAGGTAAGTTGTTGGAATTTCACATATCAATAATAGATGGTCCTTCAGTGTAAGGCTTGTAGTTGACCTTTTGCATTCTAAAATAAGAAATTTGTTTGAGAATCATAAAGGGTAGTTGGAATTAAACTTTAGAGACCTTAGTTATTAGCTAGGGACTCATTTAAGTATATAAATGCACAGGTGTGGTCTAGAATATTAGTCCTAATATTCTAGAATATTAGTCCTAAATGTGAGTCTAGTGCAGTCTGTACCTTGTCATTATTTCCTGAAAATTTATATTTTAAAGTAGTAACTGTATTAATTAGTTGATAGTAGAGAGTATCTGTTTTTTTAGAGGAGGTTTTGGGGCCTTTGAAAAGAAGTAGGTGTAATTAGAGTAAGAGAAGGGGATAAGCAGGGTGATAGCAAATGTGATTTGGAATTGAAGGAGACTGGAGAAATGAGGTGTTTATGGTGTGCAGCCATAGGCAAGTGGTCAACTTGTAGTGAGCCCTTTACAACATTATGGAACCCCCTCTGAATGTGTATGTTTGTGCTAATTCATTGGCACAGAAAGAATCACTTCATTAGTTTCTGGCCTTAAGCAAGAGAGGAACTGAAGCTTTAAAACTCTGGAGTCATTTATTTTTGTTGAGTCTGAAGCTGATTCTATCAACATCTTGGTTTACTGCACAACCTTAGGGCACTTTTAGAAACAATCAGTAAACAACTTATACAACATCATTTATCCCTACAGGTAAACTGTGAGACAGATTTTGTTTCCAGAAATTTAAAATTTCAACAGTTGGTCCAGCAGGTAGCCCTGGGAACCATGTTGCATTGTCAGAGCCTAAAGGATCAACTCTCCACGTACAGTAAAGTGAGTTTGGAGGTTGTCTTTAGCATGCTGCATTTGTTCCTGTTTTGGTGTTGGGGATGGAATTTAAGGACTTGTGCATGCTAAGTATGTGCTCTACCACTGTACTAAACCTCCAGCCCCTGCTGTTTGTCTGTTTTTTACCCCCACTACCCCAAACTCTCTGATTTCACTCTCTTGCTTCACATTGCTGCTTATATGTTATCTCTTTGGGGGAGGTATATTTCCCTTTTGTTTTTCTTTCTCCTTATTCTGCCTTTTTAAAATTTTTTTATTATAGTGCCCATATGTTACATTTATCTACTTATATATTGTCTGTCTCCCCCCATAGAATGTAAGCTTCTTGAATTTGTTTTTTCACTGCTATATCTTTGGCGAAAGAGAAGTGGGGGCAGCATTCAATTGGAGCTTAGTAAACCTTTGTTGAATGAATGAATGAATGAATGAATGTCCATTGGATGGGATCACTCAAATTAAGCAAAACCATCTGAGGCTTCCTATTCAGAAATCTGGAATGCCCTGAGGAAAGTGTTTCCAAGTGGGGAGATTGGAAGAACCACAATTTGGGATAGTAAACATATTCTGATTCATAGAAGGGTAAAGGAATGAATTAATCAGTCTGCCTTTGATCCAGTATTATTGTCAAGACAAAAATGACCCAACCACTCAATTACATTTTTTTGTGTGTTCATTATCATTTATTTCTTTTCTTATTTATCCTTCTCTTGAGATTGTGTG